ATACACTGTCAATAAAAGAGCTTAAATAAAACATCAGTTCCAATTCGAAGAGGCTTGCTGAAATGTCATTTGAAACAAGATTTGCTGAAAATGTCAGTTCGAATAAAGATTTACGTCAGTTTTATTGTATGTTTATTAATGATAAAAAAAAAAAAATTATATTTTACTTTCCTATGGTGTTTGTCTTTTAGAAACAAGATTTTTTTTTTTTTTTTTTTTTAAAAGTTTTTTTGTTTTATATTGTTTCAGGTGTATGCACTTTTGTAATTGTTATGATGTGAAATGGGCTACGAGAGTACAGGATGTATTTACATACGCCAAACTGCTGGCGTTGTTTATTATTAAGCTGATGGTGGATATCAACTTTACCAGGTAATAATTGTTAGATATAGCAGTGTTGATTGCTCAGATTTCAGCTATTTTTAACATCCTCTTGGGGTTGTTCTTTTAGCAAAAAAAATAATTTTTATTTATCTATTTTATATAATAGTTATCAACATTCTTTTTGATAGCATATATTTTGATTACCACTATTTTAGAGATTTTGTATTAAATAATCTTTGACGGCCAACAAATTAGAATATAGTACTTATAATTATTCATAATAGGTTATATATTTTTTGCATTTAATTTTTTTTTTTTTTTTTTTTTTTTTTTTTTTTTTTATTATTATACTCTGTATTTTTTTTCTCATTAAAGATTGTCGAAGACGATACAGAAGGAAAACAGAGACTGACTGTCCTTACCAATTATCTATCTTTTACTAATAAGAATTGTCTCTGAATATTTTTTACGTTATCTATGGATGGGTTTAATATAAATCGTCATGCGTCGTGTCTTGTTGTATTTAACCAGTTTTATTGGTTATTTAAAAAATGACAGATCATATTCAATTTTATTGGATTTGGACGGAACGATGAACGACAAACGGACGCCGATGCGTATCAACCTAGGGTATAAACTCGCCTTTAGATTTTTGACCCTTGTCAAAGTCTTGCCAAATTATGGGTTATAATTTGTGTCAACTTTTGTTAAATACTCTGACGTTTTGTAAAATGATGCATTTTGTTTCGTATTATTACGTGTGATTTGTATCTTTTTGAAGTCGAGTGGAGGAAAATTCGAGTGAAAATTAACTGTGGACCCAGAGCACAGTTTTATAGTTAATACTCGTCCTGCCCAGGCAGAAAGTCTATACACCAATGAAGTTGCCATCGATAAATTTTGTATACCATTTCGTCGTAGATAAGTGCATCAAAGTAAGTGCGTATATGGTAGAAGGATCAAACTAAACACATACTAAAACTGGAGCAGCTGTAAAAATATCGACATCACACGATAGGTAAATAATACATTTTAGTACTGGCAGAAAAATAATGTCAAAATTACTGTTTAAAAAAAATTAAGATTAAAAGTTAATTAATCACCTTTAGGTATAAAAATTGGATGAGGTGTTATTATTAATAAAATAGTTTGTTTTATCTTACCTATGTTGTTTATTTTTTATTTGGAAAATTCATATTAACAATTTGTATTTGTACATAATTTTATATTGATAAATAATAAAAAAAAAAAAAAAAAAAAAAAAAATAAATAATAGTTCTTTTTTTAATATTTTTTTGGTATGTTAGTGTCTTGTTCTTGTTTTTATTTGTACACATACCGTTTTTATTAAATAAAAATAACTCTGCATTTACATTTTTTCAGTTTTATACACTTTTTTTCACAATATTTGGAATAACGTAATCCTTGTCAGCCTTGTCATTTCAAATTTAATATTTTTTTTTTTTTTTTTTTTTTTTTTTTTTTTTTTTTTTTTTTGTTAAAATAAAAATAAACTACTTTTGAATTAAAGTGACAGGCATCAACTGTCACTGTCAGGTATCCTTTCGTTGGACAGGATCGATAATTATTAGATAATAAATTATATGTTTGTTTCAGGGCATATGGAACACTTTACCTTTTAAAAAATACTAACACAGAGTAACATCATTGCCTTTCGTTTTGATTCTGTTATATTGCTTACAGATGGCTGGTAAGATGGCTCAAAAATACTAAAAACAATACTTGCATATGATTTCAACATTATTTTAGGAACTACCTGATTTATCTATAGAAGAATTAAAGATCAGTACGTGTTATGTAAGATAATTATTTCAAAGGTATTTAAAATTTAACTAAAATAATTTATTGTTTTTATAGAATTTCTTTGGCCATTTAGCTACATCTTTTATCACTAGTGGTACTTGACAGGTAGTCGTAGTACTGACAAACGTATGCATTTCTTTAGCACTCCTTATCGCGATATGAGATATTGGTTTATAGCTCTTAGCAGTGACGTTTGCTAATCACTTGTTTGGACCTTTTGCTTTGTCCATACCAGTGTTTGTAGCACTTTCTACATTTGGGGCAGTAAATGGAATTCTACTAACATCTTCCAGGTAATCTTGACGGCGATTCCTTGAACCGCGGTACCTTAAATATTCAAATTTCTTCTAAACAAATTATTTAAATTGAGTAATATACAGGGTGTCCCAGAAATAAGTGCAAATATTTTAAGGGGTGGTAGATCTCGATAAAAGAAACATATTTTCTCTTTATCGTTTTTCAAATAAGTCCAAAATAACGGAGTTATTTCACTTTGAAAATTTCGAAAAAAAATGATTTTTTAGCTAAAAATTTTTGAGAACCACTGGTCTTTTTCTGATTTCTTCTTGCTCTCTCTCTATGTTCTCATATTATCAAGAAATTATGTTTTTTAACTAAAAAAACTAAAAATAATTTCAAAAAATTTTTCAAAAAATTTCGAATTCAAATTTTTTTTCGCGAAAAAAAAACTTATGGCTGTTTCTGGGGTGAAACATACCACCAGTTAAAATTATTTGCACTTATTCTGGGACACCCCTGTATATAGCGTGCTCGAAACTTGTGATATTCCGGAATCTTCGCCGGCATATTCTGCGTATAAAAAAAGTAAAGAAAAAAAAAAAAAAAATGTCCTAAAATGCTTTCTTTCGGAGATACAGGGTGTGTCAAGTTTTATTTTTATTTCGTTTTTTCTTTTTTTTTTTTTTTTTTTGTTTTTTTGTGTTTATGAATAAAAATTATAAATATTAATAAAAATTAGTTATCTGGGCTTTTTAACATGAAGATAGAGGAACCATCCTACATTTTTTTAACTGGTTTGAGAATATCTTTTCATCCGTACCTGTATAAGACTATTGAGTGAAAAAAAATTACGATTTCCGTTAATTTTTACGTAAAAAATGCATTTTATTTAAAATTTTTGCACTAAAAGTAAATGGGTATTTTTTTTAGAATGGAAATAGTCAACGCATGTCATTATTGGACAAAAAATAAATATGCGTTGACTATACGATAGATGAATAAAAAAAAGATTTTTTTCGTTTTTTTAAAACTATCTGAATTTTTTCTAGAAAAAAATTATGATAAAAAACAGTTTCTGTACCTTAGGTATTAAAATAAAAAAAAAAAAAAAAAATATATTATTTCGTATAATAAAACTATCCAGTCAACATTATGTATACTTTTGTGTCAATTATGACATTATTGATTTCCATGTCCAATATTTTGGACGATTGCTCACAAGCGATTTTTACCCAAACATGTCATTTTTGACAAAAAAAAAAAAAAAAATGTATTAATTTTTTCATCGATAAGTAATACATCAGGGACGGACGAAAAGTATTTACTCTTCAAAAAGTAAAAAATATGTAGCGGGCTAGCATACAAGTAGCATTATATTATATTGACATCGAATTTAAATTTCTTCATGTTTAAAACCCCCAATACCAACTTTTCAATTGAAAAAAATTGAAATAAACAGATTAAACCCTGTATCTCCGAAATGAACCATTTTGCGACATAAGTTTATAGGATTTTTTTTACTTATTTTTATGTGCAGAACATGCTGCCGGACACAAGGGCGTAGATAAGGGGGGGGGTACTGGGGGACAGTACCCCCCCCCTGACGCTTGACGAGATACGAGAATTGAAATAGTCATTGACTATGAAAGGATTTTTTTAAATTAAAATCCGACATATAAGAACACTTTGTATGCTTTTAATTATGTTGATTATAATCGTTATTTATAATATGTTCGACCTAATTAAGCACACAAAGTGTTCTTATTGGCCAGGACCGATTAGTGGGGTTAACTCTAATTTCAATATCCATAAGATATTGAAATAAATGTTGATGTTGTTATTGATAGGTTTTCAAAACAGCGTACTGAAAACTTTTTAGTTTGTAGTTTTTAGTTTATAGTTATAGTTTTTTATACTTTGTTTGATAAGTTTAGAGTTTTTTTTTATAGTTTATAGAAAGTTAACTAATACGTTCGTTGTTTCATTTTTGTTTATGTTATTTACAAATCCGTTATATTTTATTTTTGTGTTTATTTTTTATATCTTTTTGAAGACAGAAAAATCGCCGTCGTTTTAATTCGTCAAAAAAAATTCCGACGGTGATTTTTTTGCGACTTAATCATAGTACCACCCCCATAGCTTACACCTATCTACGCCCCTCGGACCAAGTTTCCACGGATACGAGTTCGACTACCCTGGATTACTTCAACATTTCTGTTGAGCGTGCTAGACAATGATTCAGTTATTGAAACTAACAAGAATTTTGGACCTTCTATTGTCCTTATATTTATATTTACTCACGACAACTGCATCGATTTACGACTGATAAAGACGAAAAACGTTTTGCTAGCTTTTTTTGGATTTCTTTTCGTAGAACGATGGATCCATTATGTACTTCTGTTTTAGATAGGTTTAAGCAGTATTTAAATTACTCGTGTAAACATTTTGAAGCCATCCAAAAAACCTCTTATGACTAAAAATATGTAACACTTTATCAGTACTTACTCTCAAAATTTATTCGAATTTGACTAAAAGCACTCGGAAGAAATTATAATAAACCGGAAAAAATAAGACTTTAAACTCCAACCAACTTGTAGATACAAAACAAAGCAGCATCGGACTATGTTGATATAAAAATTATAATTTTTAAGCGGGGGAATCTCCCCGACGATCGATGGCGCACTGTTTTTCCTGAAACCACCCTGTTAAAGATAAGCTCAGTAGTAGGATTTTAGATTAGTTCACCTTGTCACGGTCCAATGATACATCTGCATGAAACGTTCTTTAAAAATAAGAAAGAAAATGGAGTCTGAAATTCTTTTAGTTTTCATTAGAGCTGTGTAGTTCGTGAACGCACTGGTTCCAATGAACTACATATTCCGACCCCGGAATGAAAGGAACTAGTCCTGGGTTTCTCAAAGAACTAGATCCTCAGGACCTATTCCGGAATCGAGACTGTGATAATTGTAGTGGATACTGTTGTTGATTTTTAGTTTGTTCTTTGAATATTATATAGGAAGGTTTCACTTAAGGTCCCTAAAATTAAGAAATATGTTTTTTTTTTTTTTTTTTTTTTTTATTTTTTTTAGACAAAAACAAAGAGCTTGAAGATGAGGAAAAATGCAATTTTTCGTAAAAATTTTTTTTTTTTTTTTTTCAAAAAGTTTTTTGCCGAGTTATTTTTAAAAACTCTAATTTGAGTTCTTTTTATTTTTTTATTCTGCAATTAAACCTTACCTATAGTTTTTAACGATACGCAATTACCTTCTCGTTATATTCGTACCTTCATTATAAAAAGTATACATAGGTCATACTGTGATTAGTTCTGACTGACAACGAAAACCATTAGCAAGCAACGAGGATGTCAATGTTAGTCGGGGAACTATTATGAACTAAAAACCTAGTTCAAAGAACTATTCCTTCTGGAGGAACTAGAACTAAAAAACTAGTTCCTCCTAAGGAACTAGAATTCCCACCTCTAGATTTCATATCGGCAAATTGGTAAAATACGACTTCGTCATTTTTTCTAGCTTGTTCTATGCTGGCGCGTGCAACGGACAAATGCCGGAAATCCTCACCATGATCCAGGAGAAAAGGCTGACCCCCACGCCTTCCGTCCTGGTTATGGTAAATCCGGAAAATCTTGTTATTTCCCGCACCGTTTCCGCTATAACGTACCCTGTTTCATGTTTTAGGCGCTGTTGTCTGCCCTTTACTTGACCGTATCGGACATCGACGTTTTGATTAATTACGTTGGGTTTGCCACGTGGGTAAGCGATCGATAAAACATATAAAAGAAACTTAGATTCCGTATGATCGAAAAAAAGCGGCCTCCAGTTGGTTTGGAAATGAACATCGATGAGATTCCCCATATAATTTTTCATATAAAATGACAGAGATCTCCACTTTAAGCCATGGTTGACGCCGTTTTTTTTATCATATTGTAACATAATACACTCACTATAGGGAATACGATTCTTTGTAGTGAATCGAATCACGCATTATAGTTTATTTTATTACTAATATCCTTGATTATGAATATATAAAATTAATATAATAGAACATAAAATTATATTACTAAGGTAATAATTACTTATCCATATTTATATCATTGTTATTACCTATATTACAAACGTTTGGGTACCCAAGCTCATAGTATACAGGGTGCTACAAATTCGAGGTACGAACATTGGTATCTCGGAAACCCTAATAGATAAGAAGATGGTTAAATTGGGACAAAGTTGCACTTTGGGATGTTCGCCAACATGCTATTAAAAAAGTTCCAAAAATTTCAATGATTGCTGAGTTTTTTGAGAAAAGCGGATTTTTTTGAAAATGAATTTTATTTTTTCCTGTCGTTTCCTGTCGTCACTTTTTACAAAATCAAAAAACTAATTGCACATTCTCATAGCCACTTTATCAGGGCTATCTCATAATATTTTTAGATTTCCAAATTAGCTGATAGTTTGTGAGATACTTGTTTTAAATACGGACCTGCATGTTTTATTTGATGCTTTGAAAACATTCAGTGTCCTGAGTACAACGATATACAACACTTTATTTTTTTTTGTTTTGGTTACTGGATACAACAAAACTGTTTAATTATTATTTAAAATAATTTCAAGTCCGACTTTGGATGTTTAAATTATTTAACCTGATTATATTCATCGCAACAATTTTCTTTTTACTTTTTATTTTTTTTTTAATTTTTTCTTACTTTCGATTTTTCGAAATTAGAAAAAAACATTTTTTTTTTTGTAATATAATATAGGTTTATTATATCATAAGCTGTAATTTTGTTCCTTTCAATGATATTTGAGCGGGCCGAAAAACGCTTTTACCATCTTTTGACGGAGATGCACTAATATCTCACCGACACTTTACGACATCGTCTATTGATATAGAAGAAGTTTTATTTGCCGTATCGGTGAGACCCAGCCCCTGGACAGCCCAACTGATGAAGGGTAGAAACCGGTTGTAGGAGTGGAGAGAGCTTTTGTTCCCCCCTTTACGGACAAGCAAAAATTTTTCTTTTTACTTTTATTTTTTTTTTAATTTTTTCTGCGTTTTCGATTTTTTCGAAATTTAGAAAAAATAACTTTTTTTTTTTTTTTGAAAATATTATTATACCATACGTCTTCTACTCCTCACATTACGCTCGTTCGATATTTATATATTGTATATATAATATATATATTATATATATATATATATATACTAAAAAAAAAAAAAAAAAAAAAAAAAAAAAAAAAAATTCTTGGGGATACGTTTTAGAGCAAAAAATTTAAACTAAAAAAAATAAAACATTATAATTAAATTAATAAATGTATATTTTTTTTTTTTTTTTTTTTTTTTTTTTTTTTTTTTTTTTTTTTTTTTTTTTTATTTTATTAGTTTTGGTTATATTTGATCGGTCAAGACTTCCTCTTTTTTTTTATTATATATATATATATATATATATATTTATATATATATATATAATATATAATATATATATATATATATATAATATATATATAATATTATATAGTATATATATATATAATATATAGTATTATATATTTAATATATCAATATCTTGTACTCAGAAAACCGAATTCTTTCGAAACCTGAAATAAAAAATGCAGGTCCGTATTTAAAAAAATCAAGTTGGCCTGTGTATCTCACAAATTATCAGCTAATTTGAAAATCTCAAAAAACGATTAAATAGCCCTGATAAAGTGGCTGGAGAATGTGGAATTAGTTTTTTGACTTTCTAAAAACTAACCACAAAAAAAATAAAGTTGATTTTTGGAAAAAGAATTAAAAAAAAAAAAAAAAAAAAAAAAACTTGAATTTTAAAACTTTTTTATTTATTTTCGTTTTCATTCTATGATAGGTGGTTAATATGATTTTTTTATCATCGATTTTTTTAACGAACGAGTCGCATTGCGATCCTGTTCAATTATTAGGACTCTTTTTAACGACTCGTCCGTTCAAATTTTATGAATCCGTGCTGGCCACGATTCAATATATTTCAATTCAGTATTATCTGTATTATATAATAATAAAAAAAAAAAAATAGAATTTTTAATTTTTAGCTTAAGTATAGTGTGTCAGTTCTTTGCCTCCCATGGCTTCGATGGAAGCGACCTGACTTGGATAGACCCATCAAAGTACACCTCATCTGGCCCGTCATCTATCTCATAGCTACGGTATTTGTTACCGTAGTACCAATAGTGGCCAGCCCTTACGAAACAGGGATGGGTTTCCTGATGATTTTTTCATCGGTACCGGTCTACTTCGTTTGCATATCTTGGAAACCGAAACCATGGTGGCTGCAGAACTTCTTCGATAGTATTACAGTCTCTTTGCAAAGTTCCCTGCTTGTGTTGGGAAATCGAAAAGAAGCAACTGTTTGGGCTCAAAAATTGTTGTGTTTGATAAAAAAAAAATTTTTTTTTTTTTTTTTTTTTTTTTTTTTTTTTTTAATTCTTAATTATTTTTTTTTTTTTTTTTTTTTTAAAAAATACATAGTATATTCATAAAACACGTATACTATGTAGACACAGAAATAACAATTCAATTTAAGCTTTACCATTTTAAACGTTAAATAAATTGCAATTGAAAGTACATATATAGAGTGAGTCTTAAATAAGTGCAAATAATTTTAGGGGTGGTATATTTTGACCCTAGGAACACGACTAAAGTACGTCCACAGATTATACAGATTATAAACTTATCGTCAAAAGCATTGTTTTTCGCGGTTCCAATTTTCGGAGTCGCGCACGTCAAATTTTTTTAAATTCTCAAACTTTCTAAAACATTCTAAAACGTTTATTTTGGACTTATTTGAAAAACGGTAAAGAGAATATATGTTTCTTTTATCGAAATCTACCAGCCCCAAGAAATATTTGCACTTATTGAAGATTCACCCTGTATAATTGCTAAAGGAAATACAAATAACAACAGTTTATATGTTGTAATTTTAAAGATTAATAAAAGCTGTCACAATTAACAGAATCACTGTTGTTAAAAGAACTTCAGTGATAGATATAGCAAAGCTCATTATGATATGTCATTTCTATTCTTACTGTGATGTTATTTTTATATGATCATATTATGTACATAGGGAAAGTCTAGATAACATTTAAACTAGTTTGTAAACTATCTATTATGACTTATATCTTCAGATATATTTATTAATTTTCAAAGAAACCAAGAAGTCCAAAAAAAAATTGAATTTTTTTTCTGGGCAGTTTTATTTTGACTGTAGTTTAGTTTTGGATTATTTATGGCAACTTATTTTTGAATCTGTTACCACATACATAAATTTTCTTATACATTTTCTTTTTACTTTTTGCTACAATTTTTAGTGTTTTCTCTTTGCTTTATATTATATAATTTTTTTAGTTTGTTTGGTTTTTTTGATTTTACTCATTAGTTATTCTATTATTTCATTGATTATTTTTAATTATTCTTAAAAGTGACTGAAAATCTTGAAGGTTTTCGTAAACAAACAAACGAAAAAGATATTATTTTACTATATGTTCGCTTTAGCTAGACTTTCCCTATCTTTATCATAATATTATATCATAAACTTTGCAGATGAAAGTAATGTACAACACAATTTTTTAAACTCAAAGACAATAAGTCTGTGCCAAACCCAAGTATCAACAATATATAGATACCAGTCGGTGTTTTAGAATGCTCAGTATTATAGATGTTCCTTTTAGTTAAGTAGTAATTATAAGTTTGAATCATTTAAGTTAATTTTTTTACATTTGAATAAAATTTTGGACCAAAATATCATATTTTTAATTTATTTAACATCGCATATCATAAAAAATATGTAAATATTATAAAAATTGTCATTGATAATAGGGCAATAGAACTGTCTAAATATAAATAAAAGCATTTTCACTAATATTTGTAAAAAATATTATAAATTTTAGTTCAGATATTCTTAAGAAGATTTAAATATCCCATAGACACATTTTTGTTTTGCTGTTTAATAATAAAATTCTAGAGAATATGACAAATATAGAACGTATTTTGAAAATTTGTTTGTCACTTTTGTATAAATACACGCATCTGATTTTTGTTGTTAAGTTTTCAGTCTGCACTAGACATATATTTCTCGTTTGAGAGATATTGCATTCCATGATCAATCCTCTCTATTTATAGCTCCAACTATTTCATTCTACATTCAAGATTTAAAGTAAATTATTGCATACCTTAAATACATTCCAGCTGATTTTCATTTAATTTTCTAATAAACATTTATTATTTTTAAATTAGAGGTAGGTGTTATCACTTGTTTTAAGCCGCTTAACATCTAACATTTCAAACTTAACATCAAATTGTATATATCTTAAACCATCGAGGATATCAGGCACTAATAATACAAGACTGAGTTCATAATTTTATGTTTTTTAGAAAAAATCGTTTTTAGAAATTATAAAAATAAGGTTAGCAAGTTGACTGAATTGAATAAATACTTATTTAGATAATATTTATTTTTCTTAAATATATTTAGTAAAATATGATCGAGCGTTTGAAGTATTCATCCGTATTTTTTGTATATCCAAGTGTTCAAAGATATCAGATATTTATATGACAATAAATGTTTTAAAAAAAGCAAATAAAAATTGTTTTTGGTCTTGGATGTTTTAATCGTTTTGATTTTCTTTAATGTTCCCCTATAACCACTCGTGTCTATAACCTGATATCGTTGATTGAAGAAATTCCTTCAAAATTCTTTCAACCAACCGCTAATATACAGTATGTCCCCGGTCTTTACAAGAGGAAACACTTTTTTATTACTGATATTTTGAGAAAATGCATTCTTTATAAAAATATTTGCTTGTTTCGAAAATGGTTAATCCGTTTATACTTTTCCAAATTTCCATATGGTTTTAGAGAAAAATAAAAAAAAACATAAAAATATAAGAAGACGTTTCTATGATTATATAATTTCCATTTCTTTCTTTGATAGATGATTATTATTACTTTTGATTAACGTTATATTTTTTGCTGTTGTTAAAGCTCGTCTCTACCAGTTTAGGCCAGTAAACGTAGCCGAGTATTATAAGTATGTAAAGGTGGAAAAAATTAGTAACCAACCAATCTCAAGGGGAATATGTAGATAATGATATCCTATTTAACCCCTCAAAAGTCCCATTCGGTCCCAGTGGGGGAAGTTTGAAAAAAAAACGCCGCCATCTTGGATTTTTTTTTTTTAAATATCTCCGTTTGCATCACTTTTTTCGAAAAAACTAAAGATATGTTTTTTGTAGAAAATTAAATTTAGAATATTTTACTTTCAATCATTTTTTCTGTAAAATAAATAGTAATAGAGATAGAGCAATTTTTTTCTATACGGTTTATAAATTCAGCTATCATTTTTGCGTTAATAGTGTAGTGTTAATATAGCTAAACCAAGTATAAATTTAAGCATTAAAACAATTCAAAATAACTTTTAAATATTATTTATTAAATGAAATTATTGTTAAAAAAATTATTATGAAATTAAAGTTATTAAATAAAATCTGCTATGACGTCATCCTGAGCGTCATTTTAGCCTCAACTAAAATACAAAAGCTTGTGCAACTGATTCCGTAGCAATGACCACATTTTGAAGAACATGCAAAACCCAGTTCCCTACAAGAGCAATTTTTAGAGCACTAACTTCTTGATCTTTACAATTACAAAAAATTAATTTTAGTAGGTCAGGAGGCGTTACATCTTCTGTTGATTGAATACGTGTCAGATTGCCTTTTTTATCTTTCTTCCATCCATATTGTAAAGGATCTAAATTGTTACCAATCAATCCATTCTTGAATCTAAAAAATACAATTTAAAACATTTCTTATAATAGATATATCTTTACAGCTACCTGAAAGTATGTCCTGAGTAAATGGAGTTTTGCAGAGTTCTCAGTTGGAGGCAAATTAGATAAATTAAAGGTAGTCTTAAGGGATTCTCAGATGTTAGATGGTTCATATGTTTATTTTTAGAAAAAATCCTAACAAAGATGACTTGTTTCAGTCAGGATTAAATTATCTTTTAAAGGTATATCACTGCCCAAGCTATATTAAACATACGAACCATCTGAGATACACTCTATATAATAGGATTACATCAAGACAAGCACTTAAGACTACCTTTAATTTAGCAAATTTGCCTCCAACTGAGAACTCAGCAAAACTCCCTTTACTCAGGACATACTTTCAGGTACCTGTAAAGATATATCTATTATAGGAAATGTTATAAGTTGTATTTTTTAGATTCAAGAATGGATTAGTATCAAGTTAGATCCTTTACAATATGGATGGAAGAAAAACCAAAAAGGCAATTTCATGCCTATTCAATCAACAGAAGATGTGGCACCTTCTGAGCTACTAAAATTAATATTTTACAATTGCAAAGGGAGTCAGTGCTCTAAAAATTGCTCTTGTAGAAAACTGGCTTTTAAATGTTTCAAATGTTTACTTCAAGGTGTGGTCAATGCTACGGAATTAGTGGCACAACTTTTGTATTTTAATTGAGGACGAAAATGACGCTCAGGATGACGTCATAGCAGATTTTATTTAATAACTTTAATTTAATAATAATTTTTTTAACAATAATTTTATTTAATAAATAATATTTAAGCGTTATTTTAAATTGTTTTAATGCTTAAATTTATACTTGGTTTATCTATATTAACACTATACTGTTAACGCAAAAATTATAGCTGATTTAAATTTATAAAACGTATAGTAAAAAATTGCTCTATCTCTATTACTATTTATTTTAGGGAAAAAAATGATTGAAGGTAAAATATTCTAAATTTAATTCTCTACAAAAAACATATCTTTAGTTTTTTCGAAAAAAGTAATGCAAACGGAGATATTTGAAAAAAACGAAAAAATCCAAGATGGCGGCGGTTTTTTTTCTAACTTCCCCTACTGGGACCAAATGGGACTATTGAGGGGTTAAATAGGAGATCATTATCTACACATTCCCGTTGAGAACGGTTGGTTATTAGTTTCTTCCACCTCAACCTCCAGATTGACTGGTCTAATTAGGAATTGCACTGCCATCAAATTTATCCCAATCCCTCATCGCAAGACGAAAAAAGGTGCCGAAGTGCGTCGTTGGAAACCTTACTAAACGTATTTATTTATTAACGAACACTTTTCTTGTGTAGGTATGAACTTAACCTAGTAGATAATGTAACTTAGACTGTAGTTAATACCGTACCGAGAAAAAAAACGAAAATAAACAAAAATAAACCAACAAACCAAACCAAAACATACCTAACCAAAACAATCAAAACACGCTGTAAGTTAAAACGCGTGCCCGATGAGGGATTGGAGTGCATTTTGCTGCAGTGCAATTCCTAACTGGTAGAAACGAGCAATCGGTGTCACATAGGAGGCATTGTAAATGTGCTTCCCGTAGTATTGAACTATAGTTATTTTTTATACAAGACGATAAAATGGTATTTTATCGTTTGAGGGGACGATAATGCAATTTTATCGTCGTGTATAAAACAATATTTTTTTCCATAGCGAGTTGCGTTTTAAAAAATATTCAGAAATTATTATTTCAAGGAATTTATTACGAGTAGAAAAAATATTGTGCTGGGTTGGCGTTGGTTTTTATGTAATTTGACAAATAAATAAAGCTGTCTCTTTAGTTGTCACCAGGGGGATGACAGTGAAATAGGAAAATTGGAAACAGTCATTAGTGTCATTCCTGTCATCTCCTGACGACAAGTATGGCCGCCTAGACAAGGACAACAATGTTTCTGTCTAACTATTGTCTAACTTCACAGTTTAGAATTGACAGATTTGTTCTAGAACAAATCGAACAAATTTCGACGCCATTTTAATTCTCTCCGTTTAGTTGTTTTGACTACGCCCATGGTGTATCATCCTGAATAACTTACGAAAAAGAAATACAAAAATTTTCAAAAAGATAAGTAATTAAAAATGTGCGATAAGAAATATCAAGTTTTTATACCTATCCTCGCTGTTAAAGTATCATTATCGAATCTCAATTGCAAAAGGGCTAATCTACTTGGAGTGGACTGTTTATTTACCTATGAAAGGGCCCTCCTGGCTCTTTCTTGTCGCTAGGCTTTTAGGAAGAAAGCTACACCCCTATTGGTAACAAAGTTTATACAAAGTTCACTGAAATAAAACAAACTTCAGGTTAAAAATCGTTTAAGCTTGACAAGATGGTGACTGCCACTGATGATGCACTGTCAAAGCCTTAAACGAATAATCTAACGTCACAAATTCTACTAAAGCCCGTTCAAAGTTTCAAGCGAAATGAGGTTGAGAAAGTTGATTTCCGAAAGAGGCAATGAAATTTATTCAATAAAATGGCGGAAACGAGAGATTTCATTTAGTTAATAAAAAAAATACAGAGCCCTGGTTTAGACATTTGTGGAAACAGTCATTAGTGTCATTCCTGTCATCTCCTGACGACAAGTATGGCTGCCTAGACAAGGACAACAATGTTTCTGTCTAACGATTGTCTAACTTCACAGTTTAGAATTGACAGATTAGTTCTAGAATTACAAATCAAGAACAAATTTCGACGCCATTTTATTTCTCTCCATTTAGTTTTGTTTTGTAAATTCAATTTGATATTTCGCCCGAAATTTATAAATATGGTAATAAAGCATATAAATTATATATTACATGAAAAAACCTGGAGAAAAGACGTTTCTGCAGTACTATGTATGTAATGGTATGTCCCATGTATAAATATTAAAATAGGTAGTAAATAAACACTATTTCCATGTTTTTAGATGCAAGAAAATGTTGTTATATGTTTATGATCGGCGATTTTATTGAAAAATGGAAACAATTTACAGCAAGGTAAGATCATTTTTAACTATAGCCAATATTATTATCTCCAGTATGTGCGATTTATGAAAAATAAACTTATTAACGTAAGTTCACCAACTGCTATACCAAGTTTTAAAGATTTTTTTAACATTGCCAATCACTAGCTGTGAAGCAGAACGCTCTTTTCTCCAAGATGTCCCATGTCAATAATACAATAAATCTGTTTGATACAATCTGATTGTTATCCGATTAAAAATCTCTCACTTTACTTCTTTTGGATTCATAAACCAGGTCTATTTGGGAATAATGGAGCTTTTAATTAGTATATTTATATTTTATACCTATATTGATATTTTTACATTGTTAATTTTAGTATAAAAATGTGTTTTTCTGTTTTCAGGTTTATTTGTTATGGTATAAGGCACTGTTTTCATGTTCTGCCCCAAAGTTTCTGTTTCTTGAAGGCTGTGAATACGTGTATTTATTTACAAATTACTGTAAGTCATGCTTATACCTATTACTAATTTACGTTAAAACTGCATATAATTAAGCAATTGATATAGAAATCATTCAATTCTTTATTTTTTTATATTTATTTAGTCACGTTGTCTCACATTTCAAATAAATATGTTTGAATAAATTTTTTATTTTGTTTTATTTATGATAAGAAAGAGTACAAAAATACATTTAAACTGAAAGAGGTGCCCGCCATTGAATAACCGGAAACGGAAATAAAAATGAAGCCATCATGTCAACCTGTCAATTGAAAATTAGTTCTCCAGACGACAACGAAGGCTTTCGGTGGCGTATCGTGTTTCCACGATTTAACACAGAGTTGACACTTCTTTCTAGTTAATTATTTTATGGTTGTCACTTTTGAGTCAATATTTTTTAATTCTCTTTCGTGTCGATTGCTGATTGAATTGGAGCCAGAAATGGCTCAAAACGAAATAAGTAAATTACCAACAGATATTCAGGCTGAGGCGACAAACGCCATATCCAAACTACTTCCATTTAAATCCCAAATAACTTATGAAAAAGAAATACAAAAATTTTCAAAAATGGAAGTAATTAAAAAATGTGCGAGAAGAAATAAAGTTTTTAACCTATCCTCGCTGTTAAAGTATCATTTATTAATCTCCCTTGCGGTTAAAGTACTATTTTGTCTACTATTTTTGATAGATATAAGGCAATTTTAACAGTTGCTATGGAAAAAAATAAATTTTTTTGCTTCTTTACCATTTTAAAATAGCAAAAAAATATGACGTTAATTTAAATTATATAATTACGAGTATAACAATATGTTTTGATTTTTGGGAAAAATAACTGTGTTTTCATGTTTTTTAATTTTCTCTTAAACGGTATGGAAATTTCGAAAAGTATACACAGGATTACCCATTTTAGAACAAGCAAGTTTTTCCTCTTGTAATCTTGCAATCGGGGACATTCTGTACAGAGATATTGATGTTATTTCACAGGTTGGCAATTTCCTTAGATGATTTTATGAGAAAAGTTCTAGATGTATTAAATAGTCAAACTTTACTACTCTTTTGAATTACTGTATACATTAAAAATTAATGTTATAATAAATTTAGAGCAAATATATGCATGTCATCTGTAATATTTAAATAGCAAACATTATGTGTATGCAAATTTATTGCTAAATTTTAAGTCGAGGAATATCTTATTTTGACAAGCTTTTCATACCAATGTTAAGCTTTTGTATTTATAGACTAAATATTCCACAATTCTCATTGAAATGCCTAAAATAAATTATAACTGACCCAAAATATAATGAAGCTGATTTTCAGTTTGTTTTGAAATATTCACAGGTATACTCTTAGTTTCTCAAATTAAAGATAACATTCATAAATAAAATTATCATGAAACCTTTAATTTTAAAGACACAAAACAAGTGAATTACGAACAAAATAAATAAAGAAAATATAAGTTAGAAATAATAATTATTTTCAGTACAAAAAAATGAGTTTTGATAAAACGTATATTTTTTAAAATTGAAAAACATTTACAAAGGATTTCAAAAATACTTATTTAAAAAAGAATGATATGGTATTTGTTCCTAGAAATTTATTTTATATTTTTCAGTCTACAACTCGAACTTTTATTTTTAGAACGCCACAAAACTGTAATAACTATAAATTTAGACAAAATATGTAAAATATGCTGTCTTGTCTCTAATAGATAAACAGAAAACATACTATTTAAAGTGGATCTTGACTTACATATTTTAGGCCAATAGAAATACATTTATATTAAGTTAAAAAATTTGATTTCGTCATTAGCAAAGAAAATTTTTATTTTCATTTTATTTTTTACTTTTAATATAATATTATTTAACCTATTTTAAACATTATTTAATATTTTTGTCGTGCCACTGTTTATTGGTATAGTCCGTATGATTGAGAAAAAACGGCATGAAGTTGTGCTTTTTTGATTTCGCATCGTTTATTTTTATCGTTTTTTTCCTCTTTACAAGAGGAAGAAAATTTTTATTACGAAATTTTGAGAAAAATGCATTCTTCATAAAAAAATTTGCTTGTTCTAAAATGGTTAATCCCGTTTATA